GATTCAACGTCATTTCGTCAATGCAGCTAACGTTGAAACCACGTTGCATGTCAACATTGATTCTACATGGAAAGTTCATTTTCATCAACAATTGTTTCAACGTTGACATCAACGGTATATCGACATTGATTCAATGTTCAAAACCAACATTGCAACGTTGCTTCAACATTTGCTCATCAACGTTGACTCCATATTGAAAATTCATTTTCTTCAACAGTGAAGAAATGCTGAATCCACGATGATTCAACGTTGATATGACAGGTCTCAACAATCTATTTAATTCGTGCGCATGCGCCGTTTCATGACTGAAGCATTATTTGAATATCATCCAGACACGATCTCCATCCTCCGAATTCGCTTTTTTAAGATCCCCCCATCCAAGGACAATGGGAACCTAATGCCGAGATGAGAAAGAGGCATCCCATTCCCCCGGAAATAGGATACCAATGCGATTTTATAAAAGATTACCCTCACTCCACGCACCATTCGGCAGTGATCATGATTTGGATTCATTCTCGAATGGAGTAATATAACCTCGCATACTCTCTCGTGTCAGGCACCTTGCTCAGAATTATCCTGGGTCCTGTTTGGTTGGGTTGCCACATTGGTCGAATATATCCAGGAAGTCAAATTCCTTCCCAGACGTCGTTTACGGAGAAAATATCAAGTACTGTTCCAAAAGTACTAGAGACGCGTACTGATTGCATATATATGGTAACTAACTATGTTGGGCAAGTAGTCGTCATCACATTTCACAGTCAGGAAATCTTGCATGTCTCGCCAGATGTCTCGCCAGACATCTGTTGATGTAACGTTGACCGGACAACGTTCTCTCAATGTTGATCTTTTCAACATCGAATCAACACTGAATCAATGTTAAAGGATTGATGCCATACTGAAGCGTTCTTTTAATTAAGATGTGAGCAATGCTGCCGCGGTGAAGTTGTTTCACGTGAATCTGTCCTTTCTTTGGATAACCTATATTACTTCGATACGTGCTAAAGGCATTCACCATACTCAGATAATCGTGTTACGCAGCAATAAAAAACATTCATATGGGAATCACTACATGAAGACTATGTATCAAGACCGTCCCAGAAAAATACTTTCTTATTATCAGTAAGCAAAATAAGAAAGATTTCAGCAGCCATGACAGTTCAAGCTTAATTAAAATATATCTAGCTAGTGTCTTCATGTCATTTCTCCTACACCAAACTCTTGATGCCCCTACATAAACACGTCGGTGCCTATTTCGGGAAATAGGTCTGACACAGTAAGGTTCTGACACAGTAATCGTTGCTCCTAGTTATGCGAGCCGAAAATGCAATTCTGCTTGATTGGTGCGACAATATTCGAGTGCCTTTCAGCCACTGTCTTATTTGCTCGAAATCGAACGTTCCTCTTGAAAGAAATATTTCCTCGTAGATCGGCTGAAGTAATTAAGTAATTGCAAACACAGATGAAGAAAGCATATTAAAGAAATCATTTTAAATAAATCATTTACTGCAAATACTTCTACCGTGAATGGTCCAGCATTGAATGAATGTTGGCGCAAAGTGGGTGTATATATGGTGACCGTCACTGCGTTGAATCAATGTTGAAGTAACATGAATGTAACAACAGGGATACATTCAATCGACCTACCGAAGGAAGCTTAAACGAGGAAGGAAAAATGAATTGGAGGTGATGTACAGGATCATGCAGAGTCTATGCTGGTTAATGCTGCGTTCAAGTACTTCTTCCTTGTTCGATCTAGATAACCTCTGTTCCATGGGGAAGAGACAGAAGTCATTCAATACGAAGAGCTAATCAGGAATCACTTCACTCAGTGGGGAGAAATTATTGTTGTGCAAAGGAAATGGCCATATCGTGCTTTGAAGAGACAGTGAGTCTATATCGGGGATGAAAATACCAGATTTGTTCAGATTTCGAACTCCTACCTTACGTCACCTAGGTGGCCCTTCTGATCCAACAGTCATAGGGCCACTAAACTCCATCGTCCAGGTGCCCCACCCTTAGGAAACTAAGATTCAGGGTTACTAGACTGCCCATTGCAGCGTTGCTTGCAAAACCATTTTCTAACGATTTTTTGGCAAAAAAAAAGTTATTTAATCTAATCAAAAAGTCGGACATGCGACAGAATACGCGTTTGAATGCGAGTGTGGTTCGTAGAATGCCTCTCTCCCGTTGTAATGTTAGGGATGACATGGAAAGGAATAGAGACAGACTGGAGTTTTGTGGCGTAGTGGTAACACATTTGCTTCGTAATCAGGAAGTCTAGGGTTCGATTTCCGATCGCGTCATTTTGTTTTTAGTCTTCTTATGCTATCCGAACTCTTCTCCCACCCCCCTCGGGCTATTACGTTCTCGAGAATGGACCCGACACTCGCAAAGGCCGGAAAAAAAAGTGCTCCTCCGCGAGGGAGACATACACCCGAGGCAGGCAGAAGGCGCCGCACATGCGCACAAGGACTTGCGGACATGTACTCAGACCCCAAGCATCGGAAACTTCATATGCACGAACGCAGCTTCATTGTGTGTTTTCAATATATAGGCCTAGCCAAAGTACCCGATGTTGCTCGGGGAAATTCAATATTTCAAAAATCGGGGAACGTTAGCCTTATGGTCTCCTATAAGTTACCGATCTTGGGTGTCGCAAAATGTGCTCGGATCCCTTTCCCTTTTAATTTCCTTTTGCACACTTTGAGTAATTTCTAGATTATTTTTAAGGGAAAGGAACTTATTGGTAAAATGCTTTTACCGTTTTGATACATATTTTTGATGAAAACTTGATCAAAAGGATATTACTTGCTACCTACTGTAGTGATCCAGAAATGGGATTACCCCGGGGTACTGTAATGCAGGTGGCTGGGAGGGGAGAGTTTGGATGGCATGAGAGGACAAAAAAGGTGCTGGGGACGGCTGAGAATCGAACCCTGGCCTCCTCATCGTCGGTCAGGTATGCTACCACTGCACCACCAAATACAGGAGTTAGTCGTTCCTCTCAATGCCATCTCAGACAATACAGGCCCCCGGAAAAGTACCCCGGGAGTGAAAATTTTGGATCGAAACATAGCCCTCGACCTTCCCCTGGATGAAAGAGGAGACCATGCAAAGTTTGGCTGCACTGGCTCCTGTGGGGTCCGAATGCATAAAGGAACAGACAGACAAACTTTCTTCTTTATATACATTGATATATAGAGATGTCACACCGATCCAGCCTCACAAAAGCACTTTCGTTCATTAGTAAGTTAAATGCCTAGACATGAACATGTCCAAGTCAATCGATTAATTGACTTTAAAAGTATATACTGTACATATATGATTTTTATTGACTCTCCTTTTTCTAATTTTACGTTTGTATTGAGACAATTCCACCATGTGAGAAGCTTGGGAGAATTTTTTTTTCTTTTTGCTTGTTTGCTGCGATAGACTCTAGGCCAGGCGTCATTTCAGCCACCCTCTTATTTGCCCTAAATCAGACATTTTTCGTGATCGTAATGTATTCTGAGCGATTGGCTAAACTACTCAACGAACCATTATGAAATACACACAAAAAATCCAAACGGTAGATAAAAACAAGGGATTTTTTTACCGTGAAAGAATCCATTGAATCGAGGTTGATTTAATGTTGACACTTCCACCGTGAATAGTGCAGCATTGATTCAATGTTGAGTCAATGTAGGTGTATAAACGGTGATGGTCACCGCGTTGAATCAATGTTGATTCACCATAGAAGTATAAACCTTCAACAGTGAAGCATTCGATCCATAGCAAATCAACGTTGAATCAATGTTTTGTGCTACCTGGGATGTTGCATGTTGCATTCTTTTTCTTCTCCTCCATTCGCATTCTCTTTCCTCGCTCCATCCACATGATCGGGTGCCGAGAAAAATCACGGTTCCAATGAAACAATAAATTCTGTAGACTTTATGCATATGACATCGTCCAAGTAGTTCATAAACGCTTTCGAGAACGTTCAACTTGTTTTCAAAGAGGTATTTGGAAGTTCGATGTATAATAATCAACACCCTTTTGGGCGCTCAGATGAGGTGCCTTTTGATCACGAAACATGCTGCATTTGAAGCCATTTGTCGCACGTTTAACATACTTTCCTAACGCACATCCATTGATATCCAGTTGACAATGGCTTGACCGAAAGGTTCGCAGCATCGACGCTAGATGGCGCCAAGGTAGTCCCTAAAAGTGTCATTTCTTGATATTTCGGGATTCATTTCCCTTATACCTTCCGCAAAGTAGCCGAACTCTCTCCACATAAACCAGAAAGGAAATACTTGAATTCATGAACAAACCTGTCTTTAAAGAAAACCCAGTCCACGGAGTCTTCAGAGAACTGGTCCGAGTAAGAGTGGTTCAATTTCCATGGTGACTCCATGGGAAGCGGTTTTTTTGCGTTTATCACCATCCCTCTCATGAAAATGGTTTTCGATGGAGAGGATGTCTGAATCCTGAGTAAAAGGTTTGATGATGTTGATGGGATGAGAATTTCTGTTGTAAGGCTGAATTTCCCCCCGCTTCTCCTCCAATATATCCCGCACAATGTAAAATAGTACCTTCCATCCTACTTATCGGTCACTTTATGGCTTCTAACACCAGCCATGGGGGCAGGGCTCTATTTAGACTGAATGCATATATTGAGATAAAAAGAACGTAGCAAAAACGTTTATTGCATATCGAATGAATCCTTTTAAAAAAAGTTTTATTAAACCTTTTCCCTGGTAATATCGCATTCATGTCGTTCAGGGAACGCATAATATGAACTGCTTTTCATTGCTTTATATTAGAACATTTAAGAAGTCAATAGAACGTTCCCAAGCACGTTAATGGAACGCTGGGAATAACTGGAATGAACCGTTCATTCAATACGTTTAGGTGCTACTGGGGTGTTAATCTCTGAAGATCATGATGATTCCTTTCAACACAACAGAGCATTTCATTTCCTTAGGTTTGCAGAAGGTTTACAATAAATAACGACGGGAGAATGCATTGATACATATTTATTGGCACAACATGGGACAGAATCTGCAACAGTTCATCGAGAAACGATCAGCTCGTCAGCCCAAGATGGACGAAAAAATACCCCCAATAATCGATTGGATCCCTCCGAAGATACCCGTGGCAGTACTGCTCAGAAGGTTCAGAAAGTTATTGCTTGCGGCAGTGAAGGTGTTAATGTTGGCCATGGCCTGTGACACCAGATTATTCCAGAACGTGTTCATGGTCGACTGGAACCCCTGGACGGAGCTCTGCACGTCCGGCCAAACTTTGTCCCAACGACAAGCGGCCAGTTCCATCATGCGTCGCAGGAGGTTGGCTGCTTCGTCTGCCTTGTCGGTCGTTCCATTCTTCAGGGCAAGGAAGAGGTCTCGGAATTTCTGCACCAGCGCATTTGCACCGTTCTGGGACTGCAAGAAACAATCATCACAGATATCACGGAGTGAATACCTTCCTATCCGGAAATGGTTCGTTTAGGAGAAATTTCCTTTCTAGGAGTTCATGTATACAATCATAATATGAATTGCAAACAAAATTCGCACAATATCTGATAAATATTCGCATTCTGAATGTGACAGTGAGAGGAAGAATCTGGAAAATGTTCACTCTATACTAACGATCAAGATATCGTTGGCGGCATTGAATCGATTGTAGATTGCAGTGAGAGTGTCCGCGCCAGCTTGGAGAATCGCCATTTTGAGAGCGAGGTCCTGCTGAACCACTGAATTAGCGACTTCGTACGCCATCAATGCATAGGCTTGAAACTGCTGAGGACCTTGTTTCAAGATTGTATCGACGGTGGTCCCGAACAGCTGCGCCAAACGGAGACTGAAAACGAGAGGCGCGACTTGGTCGTACAGATCTTGGACGTTGCCATTTACTCCAGAAGCGATGGCCTGGAGGTTGTTCTTGATCTTCTGGAAAAGGGGATTGTTCTGGAATTTCGCCGCGGCGGCGTTCATGCGGTTGAGGATCTGTTGGGCCTGGTCCTTGGTGATGTTGAAGATGTTCTCCACGGAGCCGATGACAGCGGAGAAGTCTGTATTCAACTCCGCTGCCAAATCCGCACTCGTGGCCACCTGGACTGAGCCACCTCCTCCCCAGGAAAAGAGGAACCGCTAAAACGAAACGGAAGGAAAGAGAGTGGACAGGTAGGACCCTAGGAGACGCAGGGACATCAAGGGAAGCTACACTGACCTTTGAGGATTCGGCATTTGCCAGCAGTAGAAGAGCGGGTAGAACGATGAGAGACTTCATGTTTTCCTTGTCGTTGCAGATCTACGATGAGTCTTTCCTCCTTCCAGGCCTATCATTTATACCCTGGTTTGTGACGTCAAGACATTCTCAACACCTGATATCTGCCATAAGATGAGCCTTGAATAGTGAATGGATTTTCCCCAGTAACAGCAAACAGGACACAACCACGGATGTGTCTCAGAATATCTTTTTTCTCACCGCGTCCTACGTTTGCCAAAAGTAATCTCATTCCGCGACTATTGGCAATATGACCCGCCGTGACGACGGAATAAGTTTCGCTAATGTGGCAACTGCAGTCTTCTTTCGCTACCACGAAATTATTGCATTTGTAAATTTTACGGGGCAGATAACTTACGCAGGTACTTCGCGAGTTGTTCAATTTCATTTAGTTGCTATCGCGTTCCATGTTTTGAGAGAAAGAAGATTTCGGATGTCAGCGTCACAAAGCAATTAGAAAATGTCTGTCTTCCTTATTTCTCATTTTATTCCTGCAGTGGTCCTTCTTTCTACTGATTCATTTCTATTCTTCATTGCGTTGAATCTGACAATTTCTAGGGTTCAGAGATTCTTAAATGTTCAATAAATTTGAAAGCTAAGGCTTTCTATACCTCTTCTCGACCCGCAAGATCGCGTGTTTAGTTTCTATTAACTTCAATGGAAACATTGAAGGAAGATGCTTCACAATTTCAAAAGAGATTTTCATATTTTGCGCGTACATGGAAGAAGCGAATAATCCCTATTTCGCAAATTGAATCATGCAACTGTTCATGTCAAGAAATCGTCTCAGTAGTGAATCTCTCTCTTTTTTTTAACGCCGGAGATCCTTCTTCCTTCGTCATGTTGAAATGTATTCATCGCGAAAATACTGTGATCGAATCGAGAAACAATATGAAGAGATTTTATTTACGGCCGAATTCACTTCAGCAGAATTCTGTAAGTGAAAAAAGTGGATAAAATATAAAATAATATACAATACTAAAGAAATGGAATTGGCAGAATGGCATCCTTGTATGGCTCTGACATCTGTTGTCAAACAGTAGAAATCACGCAACGTGACAAAAATATATTGAGAAGGCTCATGTCAGCTGACTTGACCCACTGCCCCCGGCCTCCCCCCCCCCTCCCTCCCTCTACCGACCCCAGTGCAGTTCTCCGGTTAAAGGGCATCATGAAGGTGTTCTTTGCCAGACCTCCGCGAGAAAATGTCAGATTTCCAGACATTCTCGGGCTGGATACACGCTAAGAAAAATCTTAGGTCAAGACTTAATTTCATAATCTCATTAAAGCAATAATCATAGGTGCTCGTTTCAATCGCACCCAACTCCAGTCCAAGAAATGAAGGACACTAATCTTCTCTCAACTTTATTTTTCCTCTTGCATCAACGAGGGCAGAAATTAGCTGTGATTAAGATTTAAAAAAAAAATGAAATAAAATAAAATAGAACGAGAGCGAGTGGAGATATGTCAGGGAGCGAGGGAATAGTGGACCACTTTAGAGAGGATTTCACAGCTTCAGAGACAAAGAGAAAAGTCCTAACCTCTTTTCGTGTCATAAAACTTTCATGAACTTGCCATCTTTATTCCACCTCAGGTAGAAAACAGAACTCATAATAATAATAATAATAATAATAATAATAATAATTAAGAGTAGCATTCACTGGAATGGAATGGAAACGCTATTCAAGCTGAAGTGAAAAAAAAAACGTTCGTACCAAATGAGTGCAAAAATCTCTTGGGCGCCCGCCAAAACAAATGAAAGAAGTTATTTGTGCATCGAACCCCCCCCCCCCCCGGCCTAGATACTTGAGGGTAAGCTCTACCCTTAATTTCCAGCCTGAAGCTCGAAACGCCTCTCACGCAAACGTGCTCCCTCTCAACCCTATCCATATACGTAGGAGGCAAATCTGTCCGTTTGTGTGTTTTTTGGAGGGTGAGTATGTCTTGCGTCATTCCAGGAAACTTCTTCTCGACGGATGAACGAATTTTGATAATCGAGGTGTCGATATTCTTCCCATTCCTCGCGCTGACCCTTTGCACAACTACGACACGACCCTTGCAATTACCTGTAACTAGTAAATTCCATGAAACAGGCCCCAGATCTCTGATGAAGTATTTGTCTCTAGAGGGGTCGGAGATACCCCTTGCAGATCTGCGCAGAAACGTATTATCTCGTGAAACGGCCCAGAGTAAAGGTAAGAGGATAATGTGGCGAAACGTGCCTGTGGCACGGGAAACCGCGCAATCAGTTATATGGCGAAATCTGAAACATATGAAAATACCCTTTACACCAAAAAAAACTCTTACTTTGCGATTGGCTGCGTGAATTCGAAATCCGATCATCTCTCATCCATGATCACATGCATAAAACATAAGAAACAAATCTCTCTCTGCGTATCTCTGCGTATCTACAAATCTCTCTCTGCGTATAAATCTCTCTGCGTATGTGTCAGTTTGTCCATCCGGGAAATTCCTTCGAGAGGAATGAATGGAATTTCATGAGTCAATCGAAAGCTTATGCCCTGGAGACGATTTGCCTAGGATCAAAACTCTAAAAGGTCTTACTTTTTCACGTTCTAGGGCCTAATTTCATCTACGAGCTTCAACGGAATCCCGTCCTCTGGCGAGGTGCTCGCAACCAACAATGAGCGGAAGAGATAATGTTCACCACGGCCGTCCCTGTTATGTTAACTGCTGGCAATGATCACGTGTCATAGTTTTGACGCGTTACCAGTCCCGTCGCCAGTTTACAACCGTGCCTCACGTAAGTCTACAACATTCAGTTAGTACTCGATATTATTATTTTCAATTTTGGTGTTCTCAAAATCAGGTGGCGAACGTGTCCCGCTTTGTGGAATAGGCGTTGCAGATGAGGACCGACCCCCCCCCCCCTCTTCTTCCTATATTAGCCAGTCACCTCGGTTGTGGCCTTGAGACAGGACGTCGCCTTTTTTTGTCTCTTCCTCCCTCCCCCTTTACCTTTTCCTTTTTTAATCAAACCTTGATTCAGCAACGATGATGCACCTCGAATTCATTAATGAGGAAATTACGTTCCTTTCGCCTATTTATTGGCCAATTTCTGTTATGGCCATTGTATCAAATTGACCTTTTTCAGGTGATTCTCAGGCATGCCTGCCATTCAGGCAACATTCAGGCACGAAGGAGCACGCAGGGACGAATGATAGAGTGGAGTACAGGGCGAGGATGGGCGAGGGTAAGCCGTTGTGTCTCGTTTCACTTTCCTACAGTCTAGACAGAGAAACCAAGAGACTACGAGGCCAAATCTTACCCCGAGGATAAGTCCAGACAGATAATCCAGACGGCAGGAGACCGAAAAGCCAAATGCCTTCGTTCGTGAATGGGATTTCCGGCCAACGCCATATCGACGTATCGAAAGAATGTTCGTATGGAGTCTGTATGAGGCATTCGTATTCATGTTGCGAATCGACTCTTCACAGTTGTTTTTCATTTGGCATCGACATCTCGTAAGAGTCTTCCATGCTGCGGCTGCCAACTGAGGGATAGCCACTGGGGTCCGTAACGAACCGATGCATGTGGGACGCACTCACTGGCTGCTGATTGATGCAATGCATTTATTCTATTTCTGTTACCTAAACGAATTCTCGTTCCTATGACTTCCCCTTGACCTTGAACTGAAAATTTCGCTCGTTCACTGGTTCGTTGTTTCGTGGCGATAATTTATACGAACACTGCCCCCCCCCCCCGGAGCGAAACGGCCATATCTCAGCAAGGAAATGCTGGATGTGCAGAAAGTATCCTTCCTGGAAAGATGATTTTTCCAGGAGGAAGTCGAAGGTCGTAGGCAATAAAGAGACGAAGTGAAAGGGGAAGCTCAGAGTTACAACTGTTGTTCAGAGGAGTTGAAGGATGGGATGGGGAGGCTGTCGCATCACGGCCGTGAGCACGCATGGATTTCTCTAATGATGGTTTCCCTAAAAACCCATATTTATCTGGCAAATAGCGAGCTCTGGTCCTTACAATGAAAAAAATTGATGATCAAGAGTTTGCATTACCATGCTCTGGGAATGCAATGTCGGGGATGGAAGGAAGTTGAAAGTTTTCAAGATATTTGAAAAACGGAGACGAGGTTTACCACCCCCTCATCGTGGGTCTGTCACTTCCCATGACAGATCTGATAAGGAGAGAACAGTCTACGATCACACTGTAAATCATTGGCACTTCGAGGCAGCTTTTTTCCCAAACTAATTTAGGAATTCTTTTAAATCTCATTTGTGTGTATCGAAGAGCACATCTCAGGTAGCGAGAACGGTGCAAGAGAATCAAAGTGATATGCACCAAACTTGTTGAAGAAAAAAATCCGGACGACGAAAAAATGTTTGGAAACGGTATGACCAAATCGCTGCCTCGAGGCGATCGAAAGCAGAACGTGAGAAGTGAAGGGAGGTGAGAAATGGGGGGAATATGATCCTCCTTCATGAGATAAGAAACCTGTTAGAGGTTCAAGGGTTTATAGAAGAGCTCTACATGGAATTGAACCCCGAGGGGAAAGAGGGGAGGGGAGACGCTATGCGACATTTATCAAACAATATTAGCCCTAGCTCAATTTTTAGGAAGGGTAGAATCCTCCACCCGCTCCCTTAATCGGTAAGCAGGATGCCCTGTTTTTCGGGGAAAAGTTATAATTCCAACTGGACTTTTTTTTCTGCTGGATTCACCTCACGGACGCCGAAGGGTCGGAATTAAGGAGAGACAAACTCGATTCCACCGACATAAAAATGCAATAAAAAGGGTCGGGCAACAATCATGGTTTGGCTTTCGAATCCACACACATTCTTCATCTTTTTTAAATAAATAAATAAAAATCCGAAAAAAACGAAGGTAGATGCATCTCAAACATTCTTAAAAGTTTCATCACTAACTCAGAAAGATTCCGTATATATAGCATTCTCTCTCCTTTGTCTCTTGATCATAATGGAAATGTTTTCATGCGCCCGAATCTAATCGATTTCCAAGTTTCATTTTAACAATCAAGAAAACGCGCGGAAATGAGAAAAAAATATCCTGATAATAACTTTGATACTTTTACAGAAAATTCCAGGAAATGGTTGTCACACATTCATAGCGATTTCCTGGGGAACGTAAAGGAATGCATTCGATGCGGTTACATTGCGTGGGTTTCTCTCCAGCCGACATCTGCAGCCCGAATGTCAGTGAATAGTGAATAGGAACTTCGCAGGTCTAGCAGACACGGGATAGGAAAAGAGGGGATTTGGAAGAGACTCCATATTCCCAGATGTGTTCATCTTCTAAGGAGTTATGCAGGGAAGCTTCAATGCACGAAACACCCCAGTCGTTCGCTTTTTTTTTCCTGTCCGTTGTGAGCGTGATAATTACGTACATGTCATGAGGAAATATTGCCACTCGGTGCAACAACGTCGGGTCAACGATGAAAAAAGGTCGAAATGTTAAGTTTAAGTTGAGAGTTCTGCGAAGAATCAACATAAATGAAATGCTTGCTATTCGTAATTAACTGAATTTTCAGTATATAGGATTACTACTCATGGATTAATGATGTCGTTTAGAAGCTATTAAGTGCAATTTCGTTTTTCACACTTGGCTTCATCATAATGAGTAAATGTTTCAACGTGAAGTTTTCCACATCATCTGAAAATTAAATAGGTTCTACCCATTGGCGAGAGATGGCACCTAATCTCCAATTCAGCGATTCTCACCTTGATGCCCTGAAAACACAGTCTTCTGTATTTCGCATTCAGTACCCGATATGTCCACACATGCAACGTGAGGGAAGGCTTTGGATTCCCTAGATAGACCCGTTGAAGGAGGTAACTAGGTAGAAAGAGACTCCAGGTACTTCTGGGCAGGGGGTCCGAGAATACATCCCGAATTTTGCTTCTTCACTGATCAATCTTTGCCCCTACTCTTTACCCATTGCTGTCGGGGCCTTTTGTTCCGACAGCAAAAAGGATAAAAGAAGAAGGGATAGGTCACACTCTGGCTTAAAAAGGACAATTCAATAATTCTCTCTTCTCCAACCGGGCTCGCCCCCAATTATCTTTACGCTCCCCACCTATCCCCGGGCATAGGAACATGCTTGGAAAGAGGAAGACCAGAAAGAATAAGTTTTCCCCTCGTCGCCCTCACCTACCCCCACGTCCTCTCCCTCTCGTCCCAAGCCACAATCCTCTTCCTCCCAACCCCTAGATGCACCGTGACCTCCATCCATACCATGAATGTCCTAATCCCCAGCTCAACCCTCCCCACGCCCCAATACCCCACCCACTTCAGCCAACCCTGCTCCTTATCCTTCCCCTGCCCAATCAAAAACGCATACCAAATGCCTCCCTCAGCTCTAACGCTTCCGCCAGCTACACACCCATCGTCAACTCAAACATATTCTCCAACCTATTTTTCATCAAGTCTCTGCCCCGAGACTCCAACAGGAAATCGCCTTCGTTCGCGCATTTTCGACAACACTCCCCCAAACTTAATAGCTTGATCTCCTCCCCGCCCAATCGGTCGGATTTGTACTCGGCCTCGGAAAATCCTCAGACGTTGCGCGCGTTG